AGCTCTACACCTTGTTATCTCATTAAAAAGGAAAGATTTTTTTTCCCTATTTCCCCAAATAAGCTTGAAAGGGATAGAAAATGGAAGAATGAAAGGAAAGCAAGTAGCTAAGATAAGACATGGATAGTTGGGAATGTATCAATGTCTCCTCGGATCTAAAGGCCTGAGGGTAGAGGTTGGAATTGGAAGCTGATGTGTTTCCAGTGTAACAAGGTGGGACTCATCATTCAGAATGCTGGAGGTTGTAAGGGAAACGATTGGACTTATTTGAGCTCATGGAGTTTGAAAACTAAACTAAACTCATCAGGTTTAACTATAACTAAGGGACTGGAGTTAAAAATTCTGAGTGCAGAAGTAGTACATAGGGTAGATGAGAGATACGAAAGGCTTTTATCTGAAGTGAAAAACCCTTTCTCTTCAAATGAAGCATCCAAGCCTGTAACTATTCTCAGGGATACTGGAGCTCCTCAAACTCTCTTGCTGGAGAAGGATTTAGTTTTCCTTCCAGGGAGTTCAATGAAAACTAAAATGTTGGCCAATGAGATGAGACCTACTCCCAATTCCTCTGCCTCCACCACGTCTGCTCCCAAGATGAGGCGTTCCACTCCCAAACATCCCAGATTTTCTCGTATTTCAAGGACCGCAACTTCCCCCCTTCAGTGGTCGAAAACGCTCTCGACCGCATCTCTTGCATTTCCCGCACCTCTGCCCTCACACCCCCTCCCCGCAACAAAAACAAAGACAGAATCCCCCTTGTCCTCATGTATCACCCCACTAACCTCCACATTCAACGCATCATTCTCCGCCACCTGCAATCTGACCCCACAATGAAGGATATATTTCCCTCCCCACCCCTATCTGCCTTCCGTAGGGACCACTCACTCTGCGACTCCCTCGTCTGCTCCACACTCCCCACAAGCCCCACCACCCCCGACACCTTTCCCTGCAACCGCAGGAAGTGCTACACCTGCCTGTACACCTCCCCCCTCACCGCCATCCAAGGACCCAAAAAAACCTTCCACATCAGACAGATGTTCACCTGCACATCCACTAATGTGGTCTATTGCATCCGCTGCTCCTGATGTGGCCTCCTCTACATCGGTGAAACCAAGCGGAGGCTCGGAGACTGCTTTTTGAGCACCTGCACTCGGTTCACGACAAACGACAACACCTTTCAGTCGTGAACCACTTCAACTACCCCTCCCACTCCCTGGACGACATGTCCATCCTGGGCCTCCTCCAGTGTCACAACGACGCCACCTGGAAACTGGAGGAGGAGCACCTCATATTCTGTCTTGGGAGCCTATAACCCAATGGTGTCAATATGGACTTTACTAGCTTCAAAATCTCCCCACCCCCGACCTCATCCCATGACCAGGCCTCCCTCTCATCCCCGCCTCCTTGACTTGTCCATCTTCTCTCCTACCTATCTCCCTCTCATCCCCGCTTCCTTGACCTGTCCGTCTTGTCCCCCACCTATCCGCCCCTCCCACCTCACTGGCCAATCCCCACCACTGCCCACCTGTATCACCATCCCACCTACCTTCCCCAGCCCCACCCCCCTCTCTATTTATTTCAGAGCTCCCTTCCCTCTTCCCCCATTTCTGAAGAAAGGTCCCGACCCGAAACGTCAGCTTTCCTGCTCCTCTGATGCTACCTGGCCTGCTGTGTTCCTCCAGCTCCACACTGTGTTATCTCTGACTCCAGCATCGGCAGTTCTTACTATCTGTATGGGTGGAGTGTATATCCTGGTTCTTTTGCCAAAGTCCCATTGGAGTGTGACTTCTTGTCTGGACTCGTGGTAGTCAGGGTAATGAAGAAATTACCCATGGATGGAGTTGATTTACTCTTGGGGCTGATTTACCAAGAACGAAAGTTATTGCTTTGTCTTTAATCTCAGAAAGCCCAGACGAGACTAAAGAGATGAAGTGCAACTCCGTCTTCAATTTGTTAGTCAATCTTCTATCCATGCTAATATACTACTTCCAATACCAAACACCTTCTGAAAATCCAAATATATTACATGCACTGCTTCCCCTTCATCTTGCTTGTTATCTCCTCAGAGAATTCTAGTAAATTTGTCCGGTATGATTTCCACTTCGTGAAGCTATGCTGACTCTTGCTTTGGTATTTCTGCTCTGTTATTACATCCTTTATGATAGATGGTAACATTTTCCTAATGACAGTTTTAAGTTAACTGGCCCATAGTCTTTTCTGTCTCCTTCCTTTTTTTCTGCCCTATCTACTGAGGGATTAGTGTGACGTTGTTGTTATAGAATGATATTATGCATAGAAATTAGGAGTTGGTCATCCAGCCCTTGGCGCCTCCTCCTGGCTGATCTGATTATATCCTCAAGTCTGTATTTCTGCCTGTCCTGATACCATTTCACCCCTTTGCTTAACAAGAATCTGTCTACTTATGACTTAAAAATATTTACGGACTCTGCTAACATCCTCTTTTCAGGAAGAGAGTTCCAAAGACTCTCAAGACTCAGAAAACAGATGTCCATACCTTGTACATATCTTGTGCCGTATCTGTCATTGGAGTGTTTGATGGAGACTGTAGATGGAGCTTTAATCTGTATCTCACCCAAATGGGAGAGTTTGATGGTAACCAAGACATAAAAAAAATCCATTCCCTAACGTTAGCATCCTTTCAAAGCAAAATACTGATGAAGCTGGAAATTTGTAAAAAAGGTCACCATTCAGCAGACTAAACAGTAACTTGATAGGGAAAAATATCCTGCATTTTGATGATTATTAACGGTGGAGTTTAAATGTAAAAGATTATAAATCTTTTCTTACATCGTTATCTGTAAACTCTTTTATTTCACAGGACAAATGATGAGCTGGTGGGATTCCTCTCCAGGTATAGAGAGAAAAATTTTCTGAAATCGCACGGCCGGGATAATGCCAGGTACGAGCCAAAACTGGCTGAACCGCTGCACGTTATGGCAAACCTTGTTACAGCCTGGGGCTATATTGAGTGAATTGGTTTCAGCCAGGAATGCAGTGGGAGCATTTCAGCTGGGCCAGCATTATAGGCCTTGCACTGTCAAGGTTAAACCAAATGAAAGTCTAATGTCCTGAGTACAAACTGTGATTACTGTGATTAGGAAGAATAAACTGGATGATTCATGCTCTGTGCACAGAGTCCAAATTGTTGCCATGCATAGAATTATCTATAGATCTCAGACCAATTCATTGTGGAGCAATAATTAGATGAACAAGTGCAATGCTGAAACAAAAACAGGAATTGCTAGAGAAACCCAGAAAATCTGGCAGCAGAGGGAGAGCAAAGTTAACATTTCGAGACCAGTGACTCCTCTTCAGAACCTATGCTGAACTGTCCTGCTGGCTAAATTGGGTCTTTTTTAAATTTATTCACGGGATGAGGGCGTTGCTGGCTAGGCAGCATTTATTGCCCATCCCTAATTGCCCAGAGGGCAGTTAAGAGTCAACTACATTGCTGTGGGTCTGGAGTCACATGTGGGCCAGACCAAGTAAGGATGGTAGTTTCCTTCCCTGAAGGATATTAATGAATCAGATGGTAACCCAGGTCCCCAGAATGTTATCTGGGTCTCTGGTGGCATACTAAAATTAAAGTGCATCAGTCAGACTGAACTTTGAGTGCTGTTTCTAGCTCTGATTACTGCAGTATGGTCCAGGAAGCGACACAGGAAGAGTCTTGAGGCTAATTTACAGTGAGAGGCACTTTATGGAGGAGTATAAGTTAGCCAAGTGGAAAAGGGATGACCCCAGGTATGCATTGAAATATAGTAAGGTTTAGAAGCTTAAATAAGTAATAATCAAGTTTCAGCCTGATGTCAGAGACATCAGCTCTTCCAGTGGGCTATGGATTGGATGCTGAAAGCCTACTGAATCTAGTAATGAGTGAACAAAAATGGATTCTCCTCATCCGTGTTTAGTTTGTGACTGTATAAAAGGCAAATGTATTAGTGAACTATAGCAACTTTAAGGTTTGTTCTGCATGACATGAAATGGAAAAATGAGTTAGTGTTGCACCCCAAATAATAAGTGTTTATGGCACACAAACTAAGATATTGTGGTCTGGAATTTCCTGATCTGGGATTTCCTGATCTGCATACCAATTAATTTATTTGCTTAGCCACTGGATTATTGTGCTGGGCACACTGTTGCTATTTTCTACATACCTGGGTTAACAAGAGGAGGAGTCAATAAGGACACCAGTCTACCTTATGGGCACATTGCAAGATATGAACATTGTGAAGAAATTTTGGGCCACTAAATAACCTGCAGGCACTCAGCTTGAATGGTCAGTTTAGGGAGGCTTGCTGGTATTTGTACATGGCAGCTTGTGAAATTAAATTCACTACATTTGGCGCGTCTGTTTTCTTGTAAAAATCCAACTGGTTTAGTAAGTCCTCTGGCAGTGGAAAACCCCTGTCTATACCTAATCTGTGCTCATCCAGTCCCACACTGTGGCCCAGAGATATACATTGGGACTAGTAGGAAATGCACTGATAATGTGAGTATTGCCCAGCTAGTTAGGACACTGCACGAATGTCTCAAACTCTGACCAATAAACTCTGTAGAGGCCAGTGTCCTGTCACCAAGCCACCCTTCGTTTATAAGTAGAGAGTCCTTGACACTGATCCAGTTTCCTCAGGGTCAACTCTGAGTGAACAGTGCTTCTGACACTCCTGTTTATATCTGTTAGCTAGGGCTCCCTCATTGGACTAGAATAACAGCCCAATCAGGGAACTCATATTCTATGAGGTCCACTTGGCTGACCTTGTTATAATCATTACACTGACCATCCCTGAACCACTGATTCCCTTCCTACTCCAACCCCATTCTTTGACTCCTCATGATATGATCTAAGTATCCTACCCGCCGTGCCACCCTATCTGTTTGCCTCACAGTCTTGCACTTTTTTTAAGAACATGGAGGAATGTAGGAGCATGAGTAGACCATTCAGCTCCTTAAATTTGCTCTGTCATTCTCTATCATAGAATCCCTACAGTGTGGAAGCAGGCCATTTGGCCCACACTGACCCATCAAAGAGCATCTCATTCAGACCCAACCCACTACTCTACTCCCGTAACCTTGCATTTCCTGCACATCCCTGGACAATTTAGCATGGCCAATCCACCTAAACTGCACACCTTTGGACTGTGGGAAGAAACTGGAGCACCCAGAGGAAACCCATGCAGACATGGGGAGAACATGGAACTGGAATTGAACCCAGGTCCTTGGCGCTGTGAGACAGCAGTGTTAACCACTGAGCCACTGTGCTGCCCCATGATCATGGTTGATCATCTACCACAGTGTCACTTTTCTGCACCATTTCCATATTTCTTGATGTAATTAATGACTATCAGTCCATTATCTTGAACACATTCACCTTACACAGTCCCTGGGGTGGGGAATTACAGAATTCACAAACTTCTGAGTGGAGAGTTTTTCCTCTCCTCGGTCCAGAAGGTCTTTCCTCTTTGAGACTATGTCCTTAGTCGGCAGATCCTTTCTGAACTTACCCTACCTAGCCCTTTAAGGATTTTACACATTTTAATGAGATCACCTCTCATTCTTCTACATTCAACAGAATTGGTGGAGTAGCAGAAAGTGAAAGGGACTGTCGGAGAGTGCAGCAGAATATAGACAGATTGGAGAGTTGGGTGGAGAAATGGCAGATGGAGTTCAATCCAGGCAAATGCGAGGTGATGCGTTTTGGAAGATTCAATTCAATTCAATGGAAAAGCCCTGGGGAACATTAATGCACAGAGAGATCTGGGTGTTCAGGTCCGTTGTACCCTGAAGGTGGCAATGCAGGTCGATAGAGTGGTCAAGAAGGCATATGGCATGCTTTCATTCATCGGACAGGGTATTGAGTACAAGAGTTGGCAGGTCATGTTACAGTTGTATAGGACTTTGGTTCGACCACATTTGGAATACTGCGTACAGTTCTGGTTGCCACATTACCAAAAGGATGTGGATGCTTTGGAGAGGGTGCAGAGGAGGTTCACCAGGACGTTGCCTGGTATGGAGGGCGCAAGCTATGAAGAGAGGTTGAGTAGATTAGAATTATTTACATTAGAAAGACGGAAGTTGAGGGGGGACCTGATTGAGGTCTACAAAATCATGAGAGGTATAGACAGGGTGGATAGCAAGAAGCTTTTTCCCAGAGCGGGGACTCAATTACTAAGGGTCACGATTTCAAGGTGAAAGGGGAAATGTTTAAGGGAGATATGCGTGGAAAGTTCTTCACGCAGAGGGTTGTGGGTGCCTGGAACGCGTTGCCAGCGGAGGTGGTAGAGGCGGGCACGATAGTGTCAGTTAAGATGTATCTAGATAGATACATGAATGGGCAGGGAGCAGAGGGATGCAGATCCTTGGAAAATAGGCGACAGGTTTAGATAGAGGATCTGGATCGGCGCAGGCTTGGAGGGCCGAATGGCCTGTTCCTGTGCTGTAATTTACTTTGTTCTTTGTTTGTTCTAATAAAGGCCTAATCTCCTGAGTCTCTCCTTTCAATATAATTCCATCATTTCCTGCACTGAAAACCTGTTTCAATGCCCAAAAGTTTTCTGTATTTAGACTTAGCAGTAAATGGCAACTATTGCTGACAAAATGGGGCTTGCTCCATAGAACATAGGACATAGAGCAGGATTGCACAGGAACGGGCCTTTCAGCCCACGATGTCGGCCCAAACATGACGCAAAATGAAACTAACCACTTCTGCCTGCCATTGGTCCATATTCCTCCATTCCTTGCATATCCATGTGCTTACCTAAATGTCTCTTACATGTCCCTATTGTATCTGCCTCCACCACGACCCCTGGCATTGCCTTCCAGACTTCAACCAATCTCTGTGTAAAAACACTTGCTCCTCACGTCTCCTTTGAACTTCCACCCTTTCACCTTAAATACATGCCCCCTAGTATTAAGCATTTCAACTCTGGGAAAAAGATTCTGACCGTCAACCCAATCTATGCATCTCATAATTTTATAGTCTCTGCCGCTAGAGAAAACAACATGAGTTTTTCTAGCCTCTCCTTCTTGCTCATACCCTCTAGTCCAGGCAGCATCCTGGTAAACGTCTTCTGCACCCTCTGCAAAACCTCCACATCCTTCCGGTAATGTGATGACCAGAATTGAACGCAGTACTCTAAGTGTAACCAAAGTCTTATAAAACTGCAACATGACATTCTGACTCTTGTATTCAATTTCCCGACCAATAAAGGCAAGCATACTATACATCTTCTTTACCACCCTATCTACTTGTGTGGCCACTTTCAGGGAGGTATAGACTTGAACCCCAAGATCCCTCTGTACATCAATGCTGTTCAGAGCCCTGCCATTAACTATATACTTTGCCTCAAAATTTGATCTCTCAAAGTGCAACACCCCACACTCACCCAGATTAAATTCCATCTGCCATTTCTCCACCCATATCTGCAACCGATCTATATCCCACTGTATCTTTTGATAACATTCTACACTATCCACAACTCCACTGATCTTTGTATAGCCTGCAAACATACTGACCCACCCACCTACATTTTCATCTATCATTTATATATATCACAAACAGCAGAGGTCCCAGTACAGATCCCCGCGGAACACCACTACTTTTAGACCTCTGGCCTGAAAGACACCCTTCCACCACTATGCTTTGTCTTCTTTGGGCAAGCCAATTCTGAATTTGCGCAGCTAAGTCACCGTGGATTCCATGCATCTTAATCTTCTGGATGAGCCTACCATGAGGGACCTTGTCGAAAGCCTTGCTAAAATCCATGTAAATAACAACCACTGCTCTACCCTCATTGATCACTTTCATCACCTCCTCAAAAAATTCAATCAAGTTAATAAGACATGATCTGCCCTACACAGAGCCATGCTGACTATTCCTAATTAGGCCATGCCTTTCCA